ACTATACCCCTGGGATATTTCGATCTTGGGGCAAAAAAATGAATACAAAATAAATACCTTTGTAAAGCATCAACTCTAAAGCTACTTTTCTCCTCATGATTTGTAGATCTTTTTTCGTTATACTTTGTAGATCATGCAAGTGTCCATTTAAATGCTTCTCTGCAAACTAAAATAAAATTTCAAAAAGTAACATATCTTCTGTCATAGAAATAAAATGAACGACAGAACAGATAACATCAACCCTAATGGAAAGGTATTAATTTGAATCGTGAAATTTTTTGTGAAAAACCAGTCGTGCTGTCCTATTTTATGGACAAATATTGAAGCTAATCCAAATATTCAGATGGCCGGTATATACATGTATTGAGATGGCATATATAGAAAAACAAAGACAATACCACAAGGCAATATATTCCACAGTTGAATGAATCTCTCTGGAGAGCATGTGGACTTGTACATATCTTCCAATCTGGTGACTTGTTGCTTATTTGGTACTTGATCCGATATTCACTGTCATATTTCCTTTAACAATAAAAAAAAAGTATGACTTGTGAGAAAATTTAAAAGCACACACCAGATATATCATGGGACAAGTCAAGGTCAACATAAAGGTTGTTTTTAGTGGATACCTCCAACTCCTCTCAATTTTTTTCATCTCATGGCTCCTCTCTCCACATGGGTTATAGAAAAAAATCTTGCCTTCTCTTACTTCAACAATCTAAAGAAAGAAAAGTGGTAATACTGCTATGGTTTACAAACTCATATTAACAAAACATAGTGTGAACAAAAAATCTCACCACTAAAGTCCAATGATATGACCTGTGATACACTCCCACAATAACATCTGCCTCTACATCTATACCCTGTAAATGTGAATACATTTTAATGCAGATTGGTATCAAAATAGTGACCTAGCTCTGTCTTCTTTTGTTAAGACAAATAATAACGATTGTTAATTAACTGTCTTTGATACAATTTATATAATTAGTACGTCTTTTCACTTACAGAGTTTTGGGAAACATCTGGTAATCGGAAGTCTGAATTTATAATCCCTGTCATTTTGGTTTGGTCATAGTGTACAACATTTCTTCCTAATTCATTTTGTTGAGTGGCCAGCAACAACAAATAACAGTCAATGACCTAGTATAAAATATATGTAGGCATTATTTCTAAGAATAAAAATCTTGGAAAAACAAATGATCGAATTAATAAATAGTAGCCTTTGAGCTTAATTACTGGAACATGTTACCTTTTCCCTAATTTTCTTTGCAAAGACTTGTTAAAATGCAAAGAGGTCAAGACATAATTGACATTGGCATCAGAAGCAAATTAAAGGGGGGAGGGCTAAGACCCCTGTTTCGATGCCTATGATTGAATTGAATTTACTCATTGCTTAGATGATTCATTATGAATCTGACTAAACAATTTATCTGAGCGGCATGCGATCAAGTTCTTGTTTTCATTAAATATTTTTATACATACCCTGTCAGTGAGACATTCATTACTTTTTAATGAACGAATGTCTGTGTCCATGATTACTTTACCAAATACATTAGCCACTGGAAAATTGAAATCCTTTTCTAATGACCATAAATTCTCTACCAAATCATAGCCTGGTGAATACAATTGGACAGTATAAATATATAATATAATTATTATAAATGACAGATATACACTTCATGTGTAAGAATTTGAAAGAATTACCCACCATTACTATTCACATGAAATTTTGCATTTTTTCCTGATGCTTCCAATTTTTGATCTGGTCCATTCCTTGTGAACAGTACATCAGACTTGGCTGAAATTGAATAAAAAAGTACCAGTACAATATACTAATAGTAATACATGATTTGGAAGTGAAAACTCAGTTTTAATATGAAATGATATACATGTACAGAATTATTCTAAAATTCTCAAACCATTTTCCATTTTTTTCCATTTCTTCAGATTTCTTTCATTTCCAATTTCTCCATCGTCTGATTTCCTCTTGGATGGTTTCTCCTAATATTTATGAAATATTCAATATGAATATATGAGGATTGCTTATTTAAAAAAAAACAACAAGCCATTAATATTTATTTAATATTGAAATAGTAAATGTTACATCCATGCACTATGTAAAATGAATGCTTAAACAATTACCTGGAATTTCAGGGAACACATCCGGCAAGTGATTGTTTCCAATGACATGCATCCAGATCCTAAACAGGCTTCAGTCCTGTGAAATTTTCTTGAGCACAATTCACATGTGATCTGCAATTTCAATTTTTTTTTTTAATTTACCGGGGTATTTGTTTTTAAGATCAATTTATAATGAATTTAACTCTTTTCTTTCCATTTTCCTCTTTCTATGTAATATCTTTTCCTTTGAAATTGTTTTTTAATGTTTAGACTTAACTTACTGTTTCTTCTGCATATGTCAAAAATCCACAACAAGGACAGCGGTCTGTGCTGTAGACTGCATGAGTTCAAAAAAAATTTCAGATATATGCTCACAAAAAATGATTGACCAATTCAATTTCTTTTCGAAATTATAAAACTTTTCATTTGGCAAGTAAAGTAGAGAAGTCAACAAACATATATAAAATACTTTAAATGTAAGATATTTTTGATAACCATTGCACATCAAAGTTATATAGTCTCAGAATGCTTCACAAATATATTTTTGTTAGTAATCTTTATATGTAGGGCTTTTTTGTTTACCATTGTACATCATTAGAGAAGTTGCTATTTTTTTCTTGCATTCTTTAGGTCTGCATTTGAAACCTTGTCAAACGGTTGCTGGTTGAAATATCTTTCAGCAAACTAAAGAAATTTTAGAAAGAAATAACAGTTATGTACTTTCAAGGGGATATTTTTTTTTTGGTGTGCAATACTTACTGGCATAAATGCACATTATTACACACAATTATAACATGTATTCCATAATTTTCTATATGATTAGATAAAATATAGGAACTTTTACTAATGATAAGAATTACATAACTCACTATCAAACAATACACTCCACAATTAAAACTGTCTGTCTGTTTAGAGTGTTCTCTTGTGATGACAGCCCAATTCCTCCTCTCCAATTCATGATATGTAACCATCCTCTCACTGATGTACAAACTTAAAGAAAATTATATACAGAAATAATTTAATCAATATACAAACTAAACATAAAACATGTAATGCTTTACTTTGTTAATTAAAAGAGGGACTGGATTTCAGATGTACAGTATAATCATACATGTAGCTATGGCACATTCTTTTATTGACATCATCTTAATTAATTACCACCAGTTTCTCTTTATCTCCTCAATCTGTATTGAATTCTGGTCTCTTTCAGGGGGTTAAAGTAATGTATGAAACCCTTCAAAGGATCAACAATCTGAAAAGAATATGGTGTTGCCTCACTTATCTTTAACTTGTAGATTTTAATTCATTAAAATAGATTGAATTTCAACAATACCGATCTCCATTGTCTGATAAGCAGAATCAAATTCAATTGAAAAAATTATTGAGCTGTAAATACATGTACATGTGTCTTTTCATTGTCAGTAATCTTACTAGCTTCCATGTAGTTAATAATTTCTATCAATCTCATTAAACCTGAAAATTATGTACTTACCACAAGAGTCCAATGACGATTTTTACATATAGCTCCAATTATTGAAGTACACTCATATAGCTTCAACTGAAAAATAAAATACAGCTGTATATTAAGCATAAAGGGACATTATTTAAACCATGTTTGTTAACTTGATTGCAGAATATTTATACCTTCCTTCGACTCTTTCCAACTGAAAAATTTCCATCCATGATCTGAGTCATGGTTTGTGATGGATATAGAGCAACCTTGTTTCCTTTCTCAATTTCCTTTTGAACAATGGCAGCTAAATATGCATCAATAACCTGTAAAAATGATAAAAATTAATGCACATGATCAAATTGCATGTATATCTAGAAAAAGAAATTGAGGAAGTGCTAACTATTAAAAACTTTATAAAGTAAATATGTGCTTACCTGATCAGTTACCCAGTTTGTACCATTAAGAGACCTTATGTCCTCATCTGTGATGTTAAAATTAGTTACTTTTCCAATAAAAAATCCAGTGCCTTTTTCCATATTCCAAATTTTGTTCACCTCTTCTAAAGCTGTAAAGATAATTTAGTTTTTAGAAATCAGCCTCCTAATGAAATGTAATTACTTAATTCTTGGGACTGAATAAAAGCACAAACCTTCCCTATAATCCATCTCATGATACTTTGCAACTGTCTGTGACATGGTACCAGAATCTGGAAAATGTACCTTCTTCACCTGCTTTGTACCTTTGTGCGTTTTCTTTAATATACCCTTCATTCCTAAAGTTAAAAATATATAAAACAATAAATCATTGGTTTAAGCCAGACAGATTTTTAACTCTTTTACTGAATAGAGCTCTATCTCATTTTATATTGGACATTTGAAAATGTATCCAAGTTGAAAATTGTACCATTTGCTTCTAAATGTGAATACTGATCATCTTCAATGGAAATGATCTCCTCTGCCACCTCACTGCTCTCTTCAATAAGAAAATAACCATCATTATTTTTCCTACAATATATTCTTACATGCATTTATCAAAAAGAAGATTCTCATTTCACTTTCCATATGCATTACCATGTGATAACAGGTCATGTACACCCTTGGATGTATGTTTTCGCATATTCTCTGCAGATGAACCATGTCTCCCAACTCCTTTGTTTCTTTTCTTTGATAGAGAAAGTTTATTTATTCGCTTTGCTGGTGTTGTTGCAATGTGGGTCATTTGCTTTTGTGGATTATCTACAGGGAGTACATCAGTTTCGCTGAGACTAGTTGTTAAACCATCTAATGTATCCTTCAATTTAGAGCCGAGGGTTTCCAAAATTTCTTCGTCCTTACAAGAATATGAATAGTCTCTTATCATTTGACAGTAGCTGCTGATGTTGGATCTTATTTTAGAAAGTCTAGATTTGGATGGTAAAATAATATCTTGAATGTTGCTGTCTGTATTGGTCTCTCTTCTTGACTCTTGGTCTTCTTTGCTGTCAGGGTGAGTAACATAAGATGGTGAACTGAACTCATAAAGAACACTCTCATCTAATGTCAGGAAGGGATTGTTCCTATACTCTTCAGGTAGTTTCTCCCACTGCCAACCAGAAACATTTCTAATGACAGCAAAAAAGTGTTTACAAGGCAAATGATGTTTGGCCCAGTCCTCACAGTCGCAAGATGGTACTGGAAAGTCGGGTGCTGAAAAGCGGACACAATAAACTTGTGAGCTCTCTGGAACCTGACTCTTTACCAGGAATTGGTCTTCTCCTAAGGAATCTATGTCATCTACAGAAATGTTTCCTGCTTCTTCCCATCTTTTAAAGCAATGCTTTACAACATTTCTTGGACGATTTATTAGGAAAGTGGGAATGTCAGGATTGTACCTCATTGATTCCTCTGCAGATATCAAATTCAGTTTCACATATCTGAAATTCCAAAATAAGGTAAATGATTTTTTAGGTAATTACCCGGTAGTGGCATAACTAAATATAAATAATATTAAACATTATCACATACATGTATATATTGCAGCACCATTAATGCAGCTTCTATATATAAAGGTTTATTACCTTTGATAGATGTCTGGAAGAAAATCATTCCACAAAATTGTAAGAAGATGACACAGTGACTTTGCTTTCTTTGCCTCAAGAAATTCATATTTCAGGGTCTTGTTCTGTCTCTCAACACCGTTGTTAGTATTCACAGAAGTGTTGTATCTCTTCTGTCGGAAAGCTTGCACCCATCTCTACAATTAAGAAAATTACATGAACTCAGCAAATAAATTTTTTGTGGACATATGCCACATCGTTATGTGTGTATACAATGTACAAATATTATACCTATCTTACCCTATATTTATTTAACCATCTGCCTTCAAACCATTTTCTGAATCTGTTATTTTCTGTCCAAAAGTGACTGTTCTAAAAAAGGAAATAAAAAGTGAAATCCAATTACGGGTTTATAACTTATATTATGCATGTACATAGAAAGCAACTGAAAATAGTAAAATCAAGACGAAATTATATTATGATAGTTTATCAACAATGCAGTTTTCATTCTTGTAAATGTGTAAGTTAGGAGTAGGAAGTTTTACTGTACATAATACTGATAAAAAAATACCTTTAATCTGTTACTTGACAGTTCAAACTCTTCATTGGTTTTGGATCTTGCTACAGAGCGTAACAAAGATAAAATTTCATCTTTATCATCTCCAATGCCGTTGTGAGTTGCTTTAAGCCATCTCTCCCATGCCTGCTCTCGATGGAAATCACAAAGGTAGACAAAGGACTCTTAAAAAATAAAATAAAAATGTATGATGTGTTTGAGATAACATACATGTTCCACCTACATGAACATGTAATGATATAAATTTCATTGGAAGTTCCCACAAGGACCTTAATAAATGTCTTGATTTTTCAATTCAAAGAGTATATATGAAGCAAATTTAAAAAAAAAGAAAATGATCTGCTCAGAGCATACTTGTAATTAGAAACAGTAAAACGACTGAAAATAGTATGTACAAAAATATTCATTAAAATACCTGGAAAAACAGATTCAATAGAAGATATTTCTTCATCTGCATAGTCACACATAAAATATGCTGGCTTCCAGTTTGGATTCCATGATTTTATAATAGATAGGGCTTCTTGGATGGATACACTGTCCTCTGTTTCAACTATGAATGTAGCAACGGTCATGTAGTTTACATTTGTAGGAACACAAAGGAAATAAAGAGGCAAGGTGTATCTGGTTGTTCTGTATGTTGCATCCAGAAGACAGATCTCATTTCCATATCTATTCAGCAGTTGTCTTTGCCAAGCAGTCTGATGTACGTACAGGAATTTGTTGACTCCATCACCACTCTTTCCATAATTTCCAATGAACAGGTCTTCATCAACAAATAACCTTTCATCTGGATCACCGCTCACAGGATGTTCTAAATCCATACACAAACAACATGGCATGTCAATTCATTTTGTGTGATTTCTATAGGCCTGGCTATTGGCAAGCAATTTTACATTGCAATATACTGCAATACTTTTTAAATGCATAGTGAATTGTGTGTTGCAATATTTTCAATCTAATTAAAAATAGCTGTACTAAAAAATACAGAAATGAGAGTCATTAAGCTAAATTTTATATGATAGACCTACAGTCTAGTACTATATAGCTTTCTGACATTAATTACATTATATTTTAAATCTAATTCCAGTCAGAGCAATTAGCTAGTAGACTGTCAATCACTTCATATCAATGAGAACTTAATTTTCATATAAGAACTTTTGTGCCAGACTTGGATCACAATAGGGCGCCTGCCGAGCGGGGCCCTTATTATATAAATCAGTGACCACAATTTTGGAAATGTTTTCCTCACTAATAACAAATGAATGTCTTTATTGCGAAAAATAAGGTGTCACAAAATTTTAGTTATCTACAATAGTGCATTGCAATACAATAAAAAGGAACAACAATTATACTTCTGAATCGGAATATTGGTATTTTTGCACAGTTCCAATGATTTCATACAATGATCATTTCGGAAAAATTATTACCATTGAGCGGTGTTAGAATTACCTTGATCTTGATCAGTCTTAATTCTTAAGTAGTATCTGTCTTCTTGATGGATTGACCTCTGTTCTTCAATCATTCCTTGAACCTCTTTCTAATAAAATATATTAAAAATATTTCTTTTCTTCTACATACTTTTAAATATATTTCCAGACATATAGTAATAAAAATACAATTACAATTCTGTTTTGCTTAAAAAATAGAATAGGTTGATTAGTATTTATATCTGAGTATTTAAACACAGAAATATGTCTTACTGCATTTAAAGACAAAATGTGGCATGTTGCCTTAATGTGAGCAAAATATCCATATTAAGTACATAAATTTAAGTAATGTTTATGGAAAGACTTTTGACTTTGCCAACAACCTGTAAATGTCTTATGTGGTAGACTTGTTGTTAATATGCATGCAGAATCTAATGGACTGTGGGATTAACCATTTATCCTAGGTACATTTTTTTCATTATAGTAAAACACTTCTTTAGGAGCATTTTACATGTATTGCATGTTCATTTTTCACCATCATACCTGATCAAAACTGCTATCTCGTAGTTTGAGAAACTGAGATGCCATATGGTTATAAATGTCCTTAAGTGATGGCCAATATCTCTTGTTGTGTTTAGGTGGAAGTGGAGAATTTAGAAAGATGGATTGCTTCAAAAAGACTTCAATAAGCAGTTTCATTTTCAGAGTGCTTGTAACTCAATGTTCGCTCACAACCTTCTTAATATAATTTGAAATTCTCTTATCCATTGGCTGCAAAATGCTGGATGCCTGTATTGTTAGGACATTTGTATTAAAGTATATGTTAAAGCATTTCCGTGATTTTGAATTTCAGATAATAATTGTTATAATACAATCTTCAATAAAAAATATTAATTAAAAAAATGATATAAAATCCATGTACCGCTCCTTTCAAGTGATTCCTATGCTCCTCTGCTGGTGGAAACGAGACATAGAACCGAGGTTGACATTCTATTTCACCTGTACCGTCATTTAAATCTTTCTTCACGCTTGGCACAAACTTCCTACTTGGTTGATCTTGATCCTTCACCTTTTGCATAATTTAAAAGAAAATGTGCATCAATTACTTCATAAATCCAAATCTGATACAAAACACATGTACATGCATGTATGTAATTTTGTAACCGATGATCTTTACATGTATATGTATATTACCTTGAAATTCAAAAATTTCACTACATGACGGATTTTTATCCTTACAGGGCATCCTTTCTTCTTGGTGTTCTGTACTAATCGGCGCTTATGTTTGAAGATATGGTCAGACTATAAAGACAAAGTAGATTAGATATGTAGGTTAATTTACTTTAAAATTATGTAATTTTATGTATACAATGATATATTATATCAAGATATTTCCAAATCCCTAATATTCTGACATAAATGAAAAGTTGTCAATTTTCAATAAATACGATAAAAGAATTTCAATTTGTTAAATCGATTTTCAATAGCTCTTACAAAAGTACTTGATGCAATATGGTGTATAAGACTCAAACTAAACTACATACTCCATTGTGTATATACATGGGGATACTATAATTAGCATACATGCTGGGTAGACATTTAATATGATATTTCAGTCGAAGAAATAAAAATCAAGCTATATAAATATTTTTTTTTTTTAATCAGACATATGAATTAACAGAATTGCATGATTAAACATAATTTACTTTAACCACGTCAACATAATTCTTTAAAAGATTCATAATATCACTTACTGCAGGTAATCTTCTTTTTTTTCTTTGATTAGTTTTGGTGTCCCTGTCAAATCCCTGATGACACTCAAGCACTTTCTTTCCCATGATGATGAAAGGAATTCCATCATATCTAATGTAGGGGTCAGCATTGCCTTGGGTATCCCAGAGTCTTACTTGTGGATCACTAACCTTTGAAATTTCTAAAAACAGATTTAATTTTTAAAAGATAAAATATTTTGCTGTTTTCTCTCATAATTGAACTAAATCATTGATTTAAATAATAAATTATAGAATAAAACACATGTACATTCTTGCATTGTTTCAAATATTATATACCAGTAAGCTAGATATCTCTGTAATGTTTTGTAATAAAAGATAATTGAAGCTGTGAAGCATGTTAATTATGTAACCATTAAATACATGTGTATAAACTAACTGGTATACACGATCATCTTCACCTCTGACTTACCAAATATTTTTCCAAACTGCTTTTCACTTTTCAAACACCGAAATCTAGATGATGTTGCATACTCATACTCCTCTAACAATTCATTTAACTTCAAAGATGATGTTACATATCCACAATGAGATGAAAACTTTTCATCAAAAAGATACTCCCATGGATAAAGAGAGCTATCACTGCTGAATAAACAAACTATTTTTGAAAATAAATTGATATTGTAACAGTGACAATATGATATAAGGATTTGAATGGGTAATAATCCATAGTTCTACAGTACAGTGATTAGGTTATGTATTGTTGTGACTGGGTTATGTTGTGTAGTGACTGGGTTATGTTGTGTAGTGACTGGGATATGTGGTGTAGTGGCTGGGATATGTTGCCCAGTGACTGGGATATGTTGTGTAGTAATTAGGACATGTTGTGTAGTGACTGGATTATATATTGTAGTGACCGGGTTATGTTGTGTAGTGACTGGGTTATGTTGTGCAGTGACTGGGATATGTTGTGTTGTGACTGGGTTATGTAGTGCAGTGCCTGGGATATGTGTAGTGACTGGGTTATGTTGTGTAGTGACTGGGATATGTAGTGTAGTGACTGGGTTATGTAGTGTAGTGACTGGGTTATGTAGTGCAGTGACTGGGATGTGTTGTGTAGTGACTGGGTTATGTTGCACAGTGACTGGGATATGTTGTGTTGTGACTGGGTTATGTAGTGTAGTGACTGAGATATGTAGTTTAGTGACTGGGTTATGTAGTGTAGTGACTGGGATATGTGTAGTGACTGGGGTATGTTGTGCAGTGACTGGGATATGTTGTGTAGTGACTGGGTTATGTAGTGCAGTGACTGGGATATGTTTTGTAGTGACTGGGTTCTGTTGTGCAGTGACTGGGATATATTATGTAGTGACTGGGTTATGTAGTGTAGTGACTGGGATATGTAGTGTAGTGACTGTTTTATGTATTGTAGTGACTTGGTTATGTAATGAAGTGACTGAAATATGTTGTGCAGAGACTGGGATATGTAGTGTAGTGACTGGGATATGTAGTGCAGTGACTGGGTTATGCTGTGTAGTGACTGGGTTATGTTGTGCAGTGACTGGGATGTGTTGTGTAGAGACTGGGTTATGCTGCGCAGAGACTAGGATATGTAGTGTAGTGACTGGGACATGTTGTGTAGTGACAGGATTATGTTGTGCAGTGACTGGGATATGTAGTGTAGTGACTGGGATATGTTGTGTAGTGACTTGGATATGTAGTGCAGTGATTGTTTTATGTATTTTAGTGACTAGGTTATGTATTGTAGTGACTGGGATATGTTGTGCAGTGACTGGGATATGTTGTGTAGTGACTGGGTTATGTTGCGCAGTGACTGGGATGTGTTGTGTAGTGACTGGGATATGTAGTGTAGTGACTGGGACATGTTGTGTAGTGACTGGGTTATGTTGTGCAGTGACTGGGTTATGTTGTGCAGTGACTGGGATATGTAGTGTAGTGACTGGGATATGTTGTGTAGTGACTGGGATATGTAGTGCAGTGATTGTTTTATGTATTGTAGTGACTAGGTTATGTATTGTAGTGACTGGGATATGTTGTGCAGTGACTGGGATATGTTGTGTAGTGACTGGGTTATGTTGCGCAGTGACTGGGATGTGTTTTGTAGTGACTGGGTTATGCTGTGCAGTGACTGGGATATGTACTGTAGTGACTGTTTTATGTAGTGTAGTGACTGGGATATGTAGTGTAGTGACTGGGATATGTTGTGTAGTGACTGGGTTATGTTGTGCAGTGACTGGGATATGTGGTGTAGTGGCTGGGATATGTTGTCCAGTGACTGAGATATGTTGTGTAGTAATTAGGACATGTTGTGTAGTGACTGGATTATATATTGTAGTGACTGGGTTATGTTGTGTAGTGACTGGGATATGTAGTGTAGTGACTGGGATGTGTTGTGTAGTGACTGGGTTATGTTGTGCAGTGACTGGGATATGTTGTGTTGTGACTGGGTTATGTAGTGCAGTGCCTGGGATATGTGTAGTGACTGGGTTATGTTGTGTAGTGACTGGGATATGTAGTGTAGTGACTGGGTTATGTAGTGTAGTGACTGGGATATGTAGTGCAGTGACTGGGATGTGTTGTGTATTGACTGGGTTATGTTGCACAGTGACTGGGATATGTTGTGTTGTGACTGGGTTATGTAGTGTAGTGACTGGGATATGTAGTTTAGTGACTGGGTTATGTAGTGTAGTGACTGGGATATGTGTAGTGACTGGGGTATGTTGTGCAGTGACTGGGATATGTTGTGTAGTGACTGGGTTATGTAGTGCAGTGACTGGGATATGTTTTGTAGTGACTGGGTTCTGTTGTGCAGTGACTGGGATATATTATGTAGTGACTGGGTTATGTAGTGTAGTGACTGGGATATGTAGTGTAGTGACTGTTTTATGTATTGTAGTGACTTGGTTATGTATTGAAGTGACTGAAATATGTTGTGCAGAGACTGGGATATGTAGTGTAGTGACTGGGATATGTAGTGTAGTGACTGGGTTATGCTGTGTAGTGACTGGGTTATGTTGTGCAGTGACTGGGATGTGTTGTGTAGTGACTGGGTTATGCTGTGCAGAGACTAGGATATGTAGTGTAGTGACTGGGACATGTTGTGTAGTGACAGGATTATGTTGTGCAGTGACTGGGATATGTAGTGTAGTGACTGGGATATGTTGTGTAGTGACTTGGATATGTAGTGCAGTGATTGTTTTATGTATTGTAGTGACTAGGTTATGTATTGTAGTGACTGGGATATGTTGTGCAGTGACTGGGATGTGTTGTGTAGTGACTGGGTTATGCTGTGCAGAGACTAGGATATGTAGTGTAGTGACTGGGACATGTTGTGTAGTGACAGGATTATGTTGTGCAGTGACTGGGATATGTAGTGTAGTGACTGGGATATGTTGTGTAGTGACTTGGATATGTAGTGCAGTGATTGTTTTATGTATTGTAGTGACTAGGTTATGTATTGTAGTGACTGGGATATGTTGTGCAGTGACTGGGATATGTTGTGTAGTGACTGGGTTATGTTGCGCAGTGACTGGGATGTGTTGTGTAGTGACTGGGCTATGCTGTGCAGTGACTGAGATATGTAGTGTAGTGACTGGGACATGTTGTGTAGTGACTGGGTTATGTTGTGCAGTGACTGGGTTATGTTGTGCAGTGACTGGGATATGTAGTGTAGTGACTGGGATATGTTGTGTAGTGACTGGGATATGTAGTGCAGTGATTGTTTTATGTATTGTAGTGACTATGTTATGTATTGTAGTGACTGGGATATGTTGTGCAGTGACTGGGATATGTTGTGTAGTGACTGGGTTATGTTGCGCAGTGACTGGGATGTGTTGTGTAGTGACTGGGTTATGCTGTGCAGTGACTGGGATATGTAGTGTAGTGACTGTTTTATGTAGTGTAGTGACTGGGATATGTAGTGTAGTGACTGGGATATGTTGTGTAGTGACTGGGTTATGTTGTGCAGTGACTGGGATATGTGGTGTAGTGGCTGGGATATGTTGCCCAGTGACTGAGATATGTTGTGTAGTAATTAGGACATGTTGTGTAGTGACTGGATTATATATTGTAGTGACTGGGTTATGTTGTGTAGTGACTGGGATATGTAGTGTAGTGACTGGGATGTGTTGTGTAGTGACTGGGTTATGTTGTGCAGTGACTGGGATATGTTGTGTTGTGACTGGGTTATGTAGTGCAGTGCCTGGGATATGTGTAGTGACTGGGTTATGTTGTGTAGTGACTGGGATATGTAGTGTAGTGACTGGGTTATGTAGTGTAGTGACTGGGATATGTAGTGCAGTGACTGGGATGTGTTGTGTATTGACTGGGTTATGTTGCACAGTGACTGGGATATGTTGTGTTGTGACTGGGTTATGTAGTGTAGTGACTGGGATATGTAGTTTAGTGACTGGGTTATGTAGTGTAGTGACTGGGATATGTGTAGTGACTGGGGTATGTTGTGCAGTGACTGGGATATGTTGTGTAGTGACTGGGTTATGTAGTGCAGTGACTGGGATATGTTTTGTAGTGACTGGGTTCTGTTGTGCAGTGACTGGGATATATTATGTAGTGACTGGGTTATGTAGTGTAGTGACTGGGATATGTAGTGTAGTGACTGTTTTATGTATTGTAGTGACTTGGTTATGTATTGAAGTGACTGAAATATGTTGTGCAGAGACTGGGATATGTAGTGTAGTGACTGGGATATGTAGTGTAGTGACTGGGTTATGCTGTGTAGTGACTGGGTTATGTTGTGCAGTGACTGGGATGTGTTGTGTAGTGACTGGGTTATGCTGTGCAGAGACTAGGATATGTAGTGTAGTGACTGGGACATGTTGTGTAGTGACAGGATTATGTTGTGCAGTGACTGGGATATGTAGTGTAGTGACTGGGATATGTTGTGTAGTGACTTGGATATGTAGTGCAGTGATTGTTTTATGTATTGTAGTGACTAGGTTATGTATTGTAGTGACTGGGATATGTTGTGCAGTGACTGGGATATGTTGTGTAGTGACTGGGTTATGTTGCGCAGTGACTGGGATGTGTTGTGTAGTGACTGGGCTATGCTGTGCAGTGACTGAGATATGTAGTGTAGTGACTGGGACATGTTGTGTAGTGACTGGGTTATGTTGTGCAGTGACTGGGTTATGTTGTGGAGTGACTGCGATATGTAGTGTAGTGACTGGGATATGTTGTGTAGTGACTGGGATATGTAGTGCAGTGATTGTTTTATGTATTGTAGTGACTATGTTATGTATTGTAGTGACTGGGATATGTTGTGCAGTGACTGGGATATGTTGTGTAGTGACTGGGTTATGTTGCGCAGTGACTGGGATGTGTTGTGTAGTGACTGGGTTATGCTGTGCAGTGACTGGGATATGTACTGTAGTGACTGTTTTATGTAGTGTAGTGACTGGAATATGTAGTGTAGTGACTGGGATATGTTGTGTAGTGACTGGGTTATGTTGTGCAGTGACTGGGATATGTAGTGTAGTGACTGGGATATGTAGTGCAGTGACTAGAATATGTAGTGTAGTGACTGGGTTATGTTGTGTAGTGACTGAATTATGTTGCGCAGTGACTGGGATATGTAGTGTCGTGACTGGGTTATGTTGTGTAGTGACTGGGTTATGTTGTGTAGTGACTGGGATATGCAGTGTCGTGACTGGGTTATGCAGTAAAATGGCTGGGATATGTTGTGTAGTGACTGGATTATATAGTGTAATGATTGGGTTATGTAGCGCAGTATCAGGGTAACAGTGTAGTGACCATGTTATGTAGTGTACTGATAGGGGTATTTTTTGTTTGACCCCATTATGTTGTTGCATAGTGACTTGGTTATCAAGTGTTTATATAGGATTTCCCATGATTTGTAGTTGAATATGCTTTTTATTCAACCAATTTGTGTGTTTTTTATCAACAAGCCTTTACAAAACACACAACGAGTAGGATAAGTAGGTTTCTAGTTTTTTTGTGCAATGGCAGGCTTACTTATTTAATACTTTTAACAATCACAATTACTAATTTTTTTCAGACTTGATTGTTGTTAATTGATGCTCAGTAGTCCTTTTTTTTTTAAATGTTAATCAGGTTGGGACCAATTGTCCAAATGGGATATAATAGTCAGTTTGGGATATAATATCCCGAATGGGCTATAAATTAACACTGCAAAAATGGAAAATTTCCAAATTTCATCAGAAGACTTAAAAAGGAATAACTTTTGGTTGACAATTTTTCCTGTATGCCCGTTGTTTATGAGATTGATCCTGTTAACAAGATAGCCGACTCTGTGCATGTATCCAGGTAACGTTAGAAAAATCGTAAGAAAATGAATGCATACATGAAATAATAAGTTCTATACATACCCTCTTTCTTCGTCCATGTGGAAACATCACTATGACTCCATTCAATTACTTTTCTTATATTTCTTTTCATCAACCATGATATTCGGACTGCTCTACATTTATTTTTCCCGCTAAAATATCATTAAAATGCATCGGGTTCGGCGTACAATATATATATAATATATTAACCAAATCGGAAATTACTTTTCCGGATGCGTTGACTGGGTTAAGTTATAGACTCTACCTTACATAAATGAGTCTAGAAAAATGTATTTATTTTAGACACATTGCATATTTCACACAAGGATTTATAACTTCATGCATAGTAAATGCAATACGGTGTCGGTACTATGTCTCTTCTCTACTTACGTTCAAAATCCATATATAAGGCTATTGGTCATCATGTAATGTTTTTTACTTGCCTTGGATAGAGAACAAGCTTTAAGATAATAGCATTTATTCTATGGTATTTTTTAACTTTGATGAATTTTCAAACAGGGCAAATTGAGAAAATTTTTAAATGTTGTTATTACTAAATGTTCTCTCTTTTGCACGAGGACAACGATTACTGTTTTCAAAGTACTCTCCATATTATATAACGGAATAAGGTAATAAACGTTATGATTTTATGCATTGATATTATTTTAACTTACTTTGTTAAATACTGTAAACCAACTTTTATTCGCGTGCGAGAAATTTTCGCGAAGTTCGCGAGAACCTCGTCATCGCGAATATTTCTCGCCGCGAACCAGTCCTTATAGTACTTTTGTCTATTAAAAACGGATGACAAAAGGCTTGATCGCGAAAATTAATCGTCGCGAACTAGTTTATCCCTGGTTAATCGCGAAATAAAGTCGTCGCGAATAAAAGTTGGTTTACAGTACCTGCCTTCTTAAGTTCAGTAACTGAACAAAGAAGCTAATATAACAATTTCGAAAGGACTGCTTTATTTTATCACCATTACAGGTTCAATTATTATTATTTTTTTTTGTTAAAAAAAGACCTGTTTTAGCAATTGATAAAAATTATGATTCGAAACCAATCCAATATACCCACCCCCTGCTAACACACACAACCTCACTCTCACCTTCCCTCTCACAAACACCCTCACACCCTCAACCCTCTCACACACACATCCACACATGAAATAGAATTTTGTGCGTCTTACCAAATACGAGGACTGTTAAAGTGGTTATAGTGGCGGTACAAAATTTGACGATTTCTCTATTTTAAAAAATTGACGAGTGAAAACTGAGGATTTTTTTTCTGTGCAAAATAAAAATGAGTTACCTTTCTTTTATTCCTTACACCTTTACTAAATTCTGCATACGAGTATTGATGACTTAGTACGAACTAAGTCCGTAGCTTCTAATAAACTTATGTCAAATTAGTATTAAATGGTATTTTTAAAGATCTTTTTTTTCAGTAAGCATGTTACATTGCCAAAAAAGCCTTCATTGCGATCGGTATTAACGGAACCCGCTTATCCTATTCTCAAAATTTTATTTTTAGGTCACCTGAGTAAACTCAGGTGACATATTGCTATCTGTTTTTGTCCGTCGACGTGCGTCGTGCGTTGTGCGTTAACATTTGAACATTTTCAGCTTCTTCTCTGCAACCACTGAACCAATTTCAACCAAATTTGGTCTAAGGCATCTATGGGTGAAGGGGAACAAAAATTGTGAATTTCATGATCCATGCCTCCTGGGGCCTGAGGAGTGGGGCCAAAACCACTAAAATTAATGCAATCTTTAAAAATCTTCTTCTTTACTCCTGGACATCAAGCAGTCAAACTGTTTGCATGATTGTAATTAGCAATAATTCCTCTACCAAAATTGTGAAATGCATGGCCCTGGGGTCAGGGGTTCCAGTGCTAGGGCGGGGCTAAATAAGTAGGTAGTGAAAATGCATTATTTCTTTGAAAATCTTCTTCTCTGCTCCTGGGTATTAAATAAACCAACTAAGCATAATTATAATTATAAAGAGCAAGAGTGTCACTATCAAAATTGTGAATTTTATGGCCCCAGGGTCAGGGGTTCTGGTGTTAGGGCGGGGCTCCATTGATTATATAGTGAAAATACATTAATTCTCTGAAAATCTTCTTCTCTACTCCTGGGTATTAGATAACTAATTAAGTGCATAGTTCTCATGAGCAAGAGTGCCTCTACCAAAATTGTAATTTTATGATCTTAAGGTCAGGGGTTGTAGTGTTAGGGCGGGGCTCTATAGATTATATAGTCAAAAACATGAATTCTCTGAAAATCTTCCTCTCTGCTCCTGGGTATTAAATAAACTAACTAAGTGCATAGTTATGACGAGCAAGAGTGCCTCTACCAAAATTGTGAATTTTATGGCCCCAGAGTCAGGGGTTCTGGTGTTAGGGCGGGGATCTATTGATTATATAGTGAAAATACATGAATTCTCTGAAAATCTTCTTCTCTGCTCCTGAAAATTAAATAAACTAACTAAGTGCATAGTTATGATGAGCAAAAGTGCCTCTACCAAAATTGTAGTTTTATGGCCCCAGAGTCGGGGTTCTGGTGTAAGGGCGGGGCTCTATTGATTATATAGTGAAAATATATGAAATCTTTGAAAACTTTTTTTTCTCTGCTCTTGGGTATTAAGCAGATGAACTACCTATAATGTTATGCTGGACAAGGGCCCATATCTTCCAGAATTGTGAATTTCAAGGCCCCAATTGAACTATATTTCTTCAAATTTTGGTGTGTATGCTTTGATAAATATGAATTTTATAACATTTTATATACATGGGGGTAAAATCCGACTTTTTGAATAATGGCCGCTGCATTGGCACAAGCGGCGCACTGGACTATGTTCAAGTGTTTTGATCCTAAATTCACTCTTGCAGAAATGTACCAGTCATAAATTTTGGTACACTAGGAAAATTTTTCTCGTCCTTAATATTTAAATTGACTAAA